GCACCGGCCCCGCTCCTTCCGGGCCCCGCCCCGACCTGTCCCCGAGCTCACCAGCCACACGATTACCGGGCTGTGGCCCATCTGCGCAGCAGCGTGCAGCGGGGTCATGCCGTCGTGGGCGCTCAGGTGCGGGTCTGCGCCGCACTCCTTCACCAGGTACTGCGTCACCTCCAGGTGGCCCTCCTGGCACGCCAGGTACAGGGGCGTGGCACCGTTCTTGGTTTGGGCATTCACTCCCCTGCGAAAGACACGGCACCCACCGTGGGCTCTCAGCGCCTGTCCCCACTCCAAAGACTTCTTCGCCCCTCACCCGCTTCCGGGGAGCTCTGGAGGGCTGGGAGAGTGGTTTGGAGACGGCCTAGTCACTGGGCCCTGCTGCCCAACTCCCTCTGGATTCAGTCCTGCTCCAGCCTCCCTGCAGGGGCTGGGGAGGACTCTGTCTTGCTCCCCATCTCCCCTCAGCAGCCTCCTTTCTGCAACGCACATCTGACTGAGCTAGTCTCTGCCCTCAGAAAATAGCCCAGCTTTTTACCAAGGTCTGCAAGGATGTGATGACCTGGCCTTTCCCTACATTATCAGCCACTCTGACCCACTGTCACTGTGAGTCCTCACACCTGTTCTTTGACCACTATGCCTTTGATCATGTCCCCCCTCCATCTGGAATACTCTTCCCATCTTTCTTTAAGGCTCAGTACAGATCCCTCCTCCATGAGGCCTGCCTTGATTTCCCTAGCAGAACAGGCCTTTCTTGCCTCTGTGCCCCATACTGTCCTGGGCTCAGTCCACGGGCCACCTGTCACGCCTGGTTGATCATAACTTATTTTGGCCTCTGCCTCCTCCAGAAGACTGAATTCCCAGAGGGCAGAGTGGTAGGGTTGCCAGATAAAACACAGGATGCCCAGTTAAATCTGAATTTCAGCTAAACAACAAATAAGTTTCTAGTATAAATATGTCCCAAATATGGCATGGGACATACCTATATACCAAACCATTATTTGTTGTTTATCTAAAATTAGATTCAATATCCTGGTTGTTGTTGTTGTCGATCTGGCAACCCTACAAGTGGCTGACATCCACTCCCCATGTGCTATGATGCTAGCAGGCAAATTCTCACTGAAGGCCCCTGCTTCGGTCCTATTGTCATTTCTGTTTTGCAGAGGGGCAGTTGAGGCCACACAGGTGATAAGAGGCACTTGAGTGCACATCTGTCTGTGTGATGCGAGGCCAGGTGCAAAGCAGGAACAAAAGGAGTGAAGATGGAATGGGGGAGGGGCTGTTCCATGTCTTCACTCCCTGTCAGGCTTCCCTGGAGCCTAGCTTGCAGCTGCCACTGCCACTTATCCCTGCTCCCCAGCTCCCACAGAAGGGTCCTAACTGGGGAACCAACCCCATGAGGTAGAGAGCTGCTGGGGAATAGGGAAGATGGCCTGGCCCCTGGCTGAGTCTCAGGTTTTCCGACTTCATTAAGGATGTGGACTCCAGGGTGCAGTTACCAGTTACAGGCACTAGGTGGAGCCACAATCTAGGCCTAGACCCAGGAGCAGTCCATGGCTCTCCCAGCCGGTCTAGGACGTAGTGGGTAAGAAAGGGGTGGGGAGTAGGAGCTACACCTCTCCTGGCTGGACCAGAGCTCTGTGCCCCAGGAAGTGCAATCCTTCATACGACTTCATATCCTCACACCCGTCTGCCTTCCCATCTATTTGCCACCAGTTTCAGGCTCCACCCCCACCATCCATGCCCTCCCTCCCCCATCCAATTGCCTACCATGTGTCCATTAATGTGGGCACCAGGCCACCCACTCCTCCTCCATCTACCCACTCACCCATCCTCTTGTCACCCAGCCATGACTTGGCCCCTCCCTCTCAGACACCCCTCAGAACCTCCCAGCTGACTTTTCCCTGTCCCTAAAACCCTGGTCCCTGTCCACTGCCCTGACCCCAGGCTGCTTACAGCCCCCACCAGGCACCCAGTCCCTGCTCTATCCTTCCTCCTGACATAGGAACCCCCCTCCTCAGACACAGAGCTGCCATTTGCTGGGGCTGACACCGAGCCTGGGACCATGCCTGGCTGTCCTCCGCTACCCCACCCGTGTTGGGGCAGAGTAGTGTCACAAGCCAGTGTGCTGACACAGTACATGGCAGCAGATAGAGACCTACCCACACGCCTCACTTCGGGAGCATACTGGCTCTTGGCCATCAGCCTCCACGCCCCAGTGCCTGCGTTGCACGCCCCTCACCGTTCACATGCCGGTGCGTCAGTAACAGCCTGTTTAATATTTCATGACTGACACTCAGTGGCCTGAATTATTCACCCTGTAACCAAAGCACAGCAAGTGCTGGGGTCCTGGGGATTGGAGACTGGAAGGGGCCACCACTCAGGAGGAAGCCAGAGGCAATGTACACAGCTCAGGGCACCAAATCAGCCCGGAGCCCTTTCTCCCAGCACATCCTGCTTGGCAGGTACTCATGACCCAGGGGTGTCCAGCCAGCCTGAGAAGGTCTCAGAAGGTCTGAGAAGCTGGCACAGAGCAGGACCCGAGCAGGAGGGGGCAGTCGTGCCCACAGCCTCCGGCCAGGCCACTGGCTGGCCCTCCCAGCTGGAGTCCCACGTATGGAGTAAATGCTCAGTGTTCGAGCTTAATCACCCGGCTTACTAGTGCGTCAGACTCTGCATTCATGGCCCCCATTCTGGGGCCACACCACCAGCCTGGGAGAGCCCAGAACACGGGGCATATACGCTGATGAGCCGGGCTGGGAGAGGGCGTCCCCACTATGTTCCCCTCTTCAACGCTGGAGGCAAGAAGAATGAGCACCCTCTTGCTCACAGGGGAAAACTGAAAAAATATGAGTGAACGTAAGGGACAAAATAGATCCATGAATCTAGGTGGAGACAGAAATGAATTTTGGGGGGAACTTGGTGAGCTAGTTAGGTTTATTTAATCACTTTTGCAAGGGAGGGGAGGTAATTAGATTTCTTTATTTATGTATTTATCTAATGGAGATACTGCGGATTGAACCCAGGACCTTGTTCACATGAAGCAAATGACCTGCCGCTGGGCTCTACCCTCCCCTGAGAAATGAGTTTATAGAGTAACGAGAGTGGTGACGTAATAGCAAGAGGGGGCACCATCTGTTCAACAGTTGCTCCATGCCAAGCCCAAGACACACTTTCTTCATCTAGCCCTCCTCATGCGCTCCAGGGTGGGGTCAGCAGCGTTCCCCTTTTACAGATGAGGAAACCGAGGCACGGGGGCTAGGATCACTGGATAACAGAGAGGCAGAGGGGAACCTGGTGCAAGAAGGAACTGGGGTTCCCACCCCCAGCTGTGTTCTGCCTCTCTGTGTCCACAAAGCCGCCCACAGAGTCGGGACTATAATCAGCCATGAGACGTGCTTGGTGAGGACTGGCGCCTTGTTGTATTTTAGGATCCCTCCTCCCTGTGCCTCTGGTGGGGGCACTGCTGGCCTGGGGTGTCCAGGCCCCGCCAAGCACAGGTCAGGCCAGGCAGCACTTCCCTGTGGAGAGTCACTGCCTGGGGGAGAGGGGCGGGGGCTCCAGCGCATCAAGTTCGAGCCATAGAGTTGCCATGGGTGAAGGGTCCAGTCCCAGCCCCTGTGCTTGGCCCTGGCCTTCACCCACCGCCCCAACTCTGCAGCTCACCGCGCAGGGTCCTGGCGTGGTCTTTACTCACCAGAGCCTCAGTTTCCACATATGGCAAATGGGCACTGTGGCACTCCAGGCCTCTTGTGAGAGATGGAAGTGGTAGCTTTGGAAACTTACAAGTTTCCTCTCAGGGAAGGCAGGTCTTGGCTTCCGGGTACCGCTGCCGCCCCATCACGCATCCCCTGGGCCTCAACATGGTTGCTTCCACGCTACCAACCCAGGCGGGTTTCCCCAGCCTCATCTGAGGTGGTCACTCCCTAACAGGCACCCTTCCCCTCCTTGAACACCTGCTCCCCTCGTCTTCCAGGACAAGCACCCGCCAGACCTTCTCAGCCTCCTTTGCTGGACCCCTGGCCCCCATCTGACCTCTAAATGTCGGGGAGCCTCAAGACCTCTTTTCTAAACACACTCTCCCCCTCGGTGAGATCATCTACTTCCAGAGGTCAAAGGCCACCTGTACTCCATGCCTCTCCTGCTGGGACCTGGAGTACATGGGGCCCCCGCCTCAGCCCACTCATCCATCTGTGCACTGAGCACAGAACTGCACATGCCCGGAGCAGACCTCTGGACACTGTCCCTCAGTCGCCACCCACTTCCTGTCCACACTTCAGTAAAGGACACCAGGCCACCCTCCCTTGAGTCCAAGCTCTAGGAGTCTTTGGGAACCCTTGCCCTCTTTATAGGTCTGAAGCTCCCCAGCAACGATCACATAAATCATGACACTTTTCTTCCTCTTGGGAAAAAAGACGACACGGACGAACTGTAACTGTTAAAGGAGTCACCCTGGATGACACCAAAGAAACATGGAGCGCTTGTAAGGTTTGCTGGAAATCTCTGTGCAAGGCTGGTGCCAGCTGACTGTTACCGCTGCCACAAGGAACAAGGGGTGATCTGCCCACGGAAGGAGACTCGGGTCAGAGAATGGCATTTCCAGCGTCCCTCCCCACTGCCAGTAACGTCTGCCCCAGTGGAGGTCCTGGAGGGGCTGAGCTCTGCAAGGATTAGAGCCGGTGGTGGGCTGAGGCCACTCGGAATAGAAAGTCTCGGAGCCTTCGGCAGTGCTATGGCTATTGTCCTCTGATCGCGCCTCCTGGCTTATTTGTAATGACCTCCGTTGAGGCCTGGCCCAGGGGAAGAAACACAGCCCGGGCTTGAGGAATATTCTAGAACAGTCAGCTTTACACACCATCCATCAGCAAGCCTGGAATATTTCCAAAAGCCTTCCCTTATCCGCCTTCCAGGCCCTCCTGGCCCTCGATGAAGCCGACCCAGACCCCGCCGCAGGCCTCTGCCCTGGCCAGTTCCGGCCGCCACGCCCCCACGCCAGGGCTGGGCGCCGCGGGGCCTCTGCCCATTCAGTTCTTACCTCCTCGGGGAGGCCTTCCTTGACACCCTCCATTTAAAGGACTCCCCCAGTCACTTCCTACAAACTACCCCTTTTCACTTCACGGCACCTCCTTTGAAATGTCTTGGCACTTGCCTCATTCAGTCCAGGGACACGTGTCACAGGGCTGCCACACGTCAGGAGGGGGCAGAGCAGGGAAAACAACGGAGCCCTGCCCTCTCAAGCTGGGCTCCCCTGGGGCTGCCGGACGGCGAGCAAGTGGGAATGTCTCTGCCTGTGGCGCACGTTCTCCATCTGTCTCCTTCTCTGCCCCTGGGGCTTCCCCGTGTCCGTGAAGCTGTGAGGACTTGCTACATCCCTAGCACTGAGGGCGCAGGGCACTTGGGGTACATTTGGATACTAGTTGTTGAGGGAATAAACCTGGGAGTGAGACGGGCAGCCAAGCCAGGAGCTCTGCAATGCCTCCTCACACGTGGCCTCAACTGGTCCATTTGCCAGACGGGCCCTGGGAGGCCCCGAGGGAGCTCTGTCTGAGGTCCTGTGCAGTGAGCTGCGGGCAGGACAGCAGGGAAGGGGCAGCCCCAGCCCCAGGCAGAGCCCTCAGCCTTCTCAGGGGGAGCTGAGCGATAGCTGAGGTTTCCTGCTCGAGGCAGGGGCTGCCGAACCCTTCCAGCTGGACGGGGCTGCAGGGGCCCAGGTTCCGTGAAGCTTTACACTGAGGAAGGGAACAGGAGAGTCCCAGGTGAACATGAAAGGCCCCAAGAGATTAGTGCCTGCACCAGGACAGGGAGGCAGACCCGGAGAGGGAGTGCAGTTTGGCCAAGGCCACGGAGGGAGCCAGTGGGACCCCAGCTGGTCAGTTAGCTTCTCGGAGACACCGTTTCTGTATCTGCAGCACCATGAGGCTGGGACATTTGTTTGGTTCGCTGATATATCCCCAGCACTCGGCCACTATTGTCTGGCCCAGAGTAGATGCTCAGTAGACATTAGTTAGTTGAGTCCATCTGTAAAATGGGCTGATTATAGAGCTACTGTCTAGAATGAGGCTCAGACTACTGCTAGGTGTCAGGCCCCTAGTTGGCACTCAGCGGGTGGGACTCCTGGCCAGCACACTCTCCAATCTTTGTCCTGGGGCAGGGGAGGCCCCAGGCAAAGAAGGCACCTGCAGGGAGCTGGGGTGGATACAGTTTTTTGGGCAGACTGGTTTTCTAGCTCTTTGTGACTGGTAGACCATGGAGGGGCCCCAGGGGAAGTGAAGGCCTACGGCCCCAATACTCAGACCTAAGGGTGCCCGCTGAGCCCAGGGCGCCCCTCTGGCTACTCAGGCCCCCGGTAAACATGTGGTGGAGGCGGAGCAAGCGTGAGATGGTTCCTGGGCCCCAGGGTGGTCAGGAACTCAGGGTCACCTGCTCCTGGTCCTGTCTTAGCCCCAAATGGTGATGTGGATGCCTGGTTCCCCTCCACCAGCCACCAGTGCTCCTGGCCAGGAAGGCTGACTCTCCCACTCTATCTCCCTTAGACCCAGGGCCTAAAATAGCCCCAGCCCAGCTCCTGCCAGCCCCTGCCTCTCCTCTCCTCTCCTTCCCCAGGGGGCTCAGAGGGAGGGTTCCCGTGGGGCAGCAGCCCCTGAGGTCACTCTGGCAATTCCTCTGCCTCTGGGAGGATTTGCCCAGTGGGCTGGGATAGACAGGAGGAGGGGTGGGTGGGTGCAGGCTGTACCTGCAGTCTCCAGTCCTTTTTTTTTTTTAAGTTTGAGGAAATGACTGTTCTTTATTCATTTTAAAAATTATTATTTTCTTAAACATAAAAGCAGAAATAAGATTACATGCATATTTTAAACTTGGAATCTTTTTTCTAGTCCTTTGTAACACCCTGAGGGGCAGCCCAGCATCAATGGCCCTCCTGTTCCTCTGCAGTTAGTCACTGCCATGGTTCAGGGTGCCCACAGGCTCCCTGAGCAGGATCACGTTTCCCAGTGGTAGGAGCTCTTCCTCCCTCACCTGCCGCCAGGGAGAGCTGAGCCCTCGTAAATAATTCACAGCGTTTCACAGCAGGCCAGGGAGGCTCATGACAGTGGAGCCACAACTCTGGAGCCAGGCTGCCTGGGTCCCTCATGGTTCCCTGTGGCCTGGGGCAGCCTGAGCCTCAGCCCCTCCCCAGCTCCCAGCCCTGGGGTCCCCAGCCTTGGGGAGCAGGAGTCTCTACCTCTGAGGTTGGGTGCTGGCCCCCCAACCCCCAGCCAGCAGGCCCCACCTCAATTCCCAGTCACCCCTCTTGCCTAAGCCCAGCCTGGCAACCACACAAAAGTGCCTCCTTATCTGCCAGGTCACACGTCTGGGTGGGAATGGAGCCAGAGCCCTCTGTCCGCCTCCCTGAGATTCATGGTGGCCTCTGTGAGCTGGTGGCTCATCAGCCCAGGCCATCTGGCCACAGAGTCGGCACCAGGGCCCAACAGCGGCCAGGACTGCAGCATGGCCCTGGAGGGGGCGGGGTCCCTAAGGCTGGAGTCTTCCTAAGGCTGGAGCTCCAGCATGTTTCAGGCCCCAGACTTCCTGGTGAGGAGGGGCGCAGGGGCCAGCCTGGGGCTGCACCCCCACCCCTCATCGGCACTTCCGGGGCAGGCTCAGAGCCCCTTCAGCTCACACCACTGGAGCTAAGCTGGCATTGCCATCAGTCTGATTGGGGCCCATGATGTGCGATGGGGGAGGCTGGTGGTTGCCGCTCCCCTCTTAGGACCTCAGTGCCCTCCGTGCTACATGAGGAGGTGGTGTCTTGCTGAGCACCAGAACCACTGAGGTAGGGGTGGGGATGGGTGCAGCTCCCCAGCCCCAAGACAGGGTGTCTGGGATTAGGCACCCAGGGGTACGGCCAGGCTGGGAGCCTGCATTCAAGGGTCTCTGGGGCCCTCCTATTCAAAACCCCACTAACTGTGATGTGACCTGGACCCTAGCTTGTTCAGAAGCAGAGCGTTTGTACCAAAGCAGTGCCCAGTGACCCATGCAGGGACAGCCGCGAGGAGACCCCTGACCCTTGAGGTCAACCTGCTGGTCTCCCACTGACCAAACTAGGGAACCCCTTGTTTAGCAAGAAAAGCCAGGCTCAACCTGCCTGTCCTGGGCTGAGGGGATGATTGCCTCCCAGCCTGGGGGCTTTAGTGCGCCTGCACCTGAGGCAGCCGGCTGCAGCCACCCTGCCTCCAGGCCTCAGGGCCAGCCTGGCATCCTCAGGAGTGGAGCCAGTGCTGAAGGCACCCTGTGACTGCTCTCCTCCCTGAGCTGGGCCTCCTGTTGCCACTTCTGTCCCAGGTACCCACTTGGACTGACAAAGGTCGCCCATCAGAGCCCCTGCCTGTCAGGTCCCTGCGGCCACCAGTGTCCCACTCCCTCAGAAAGGGTCTGAGTGGGTTTCCCTCAGGACCCCTGCCTCCCTGCAGGCGCACCCGAAAACCTGGCTCCCCCCCCCCCAGGACTCCCCATGACTCCCATGCTCTGCATTGAACCCCCTTCTTCTGCACACCCCACCCCACCTTGGGGAGCGCTCAGCCTACTGCTCAGCTGCTTTCTCAGACCAGGTCCTCGCCGAGGGCCCCCCCGGAGGTTTGGGAGTCCTGTCCCCCTTGGTAGTGGGAATGCGGCCTCAGAAATGACAAATCGCTCTCTGACAGGCCAGGGGCTGTGGGGTCGGGAGGTGGGGAGGAGGTCCGGGGGGCAGCCCTCTCCCTTCACTGCTTCATAACTGACTCCTCCTCCTTCTGGACTAGGGGTCTAGGAGATGCTCCCCTCTCTTCACCCCTACTCCCCATTTAGAACAGTCGTGCAAATTAGCACAGGCCAGAGCTAGGGAGAGCAGCCGGCTGCAGGCCAGTGAGCATCCTGGAGGGGAGGCAGTGATCTCGGCCTGCATGCCCAGCCCTCATAGGTGCACCTGCCTGCTGGGGCAGCACCTGCTTGCAGGGCTCTGGGGCCAGTGGCTGTAGGCAGCCGGCCAGGAGGTGAGAAATTTCAGCTTGAGTAGGAGCTGTCCCTGGACAGGCCCCTGGCCACAGAGATGGTCCAGAAGCAGTCCTCCCCCTGGAATGCTGGAGGGGCATGGCTGACTTCAGGCAGCCCCCAGAGTCACAGCCCACCCCACCCAGAGCCCCCCTGAAGAGGAATGTCCTTACTCAGGGTGGTGCCCGATGAGAAGCCTCAGGGAGGGGAAGTCTCCTTTGGCGGCGGCGTAGTGAACAGGTAGGGCGCCTGTGTCTGTGGCCACGGTGGGGTCCCCACCGCCGTGACACAGCAGCCAGTTCACCACCTCAGGGTGGCCAAAGCGGGCAGCCAGATGCAGGACTGTGGCACCAGAATTGTCTTTGTCCTGTGGGAGGGGAGCCCGTTAGTCCTAAAGCCTAGTCCTGCCCCCATTCCTCGCTCAGACCACTTCCTGCCTCCCACCAGCCACCAGGGCAGCTCTGTGCTCGGGCATGTAACCGGCCGTCTTTGAACCTCAGTCCACAGCGGCAGCACCATGCCGTTCACGCTGGGCTTCCTGAGGCCTGCAGGTCACGAGGTGAGGTGCCTGCACACAGCAAGCTTTCAGGACATGGCACCCTTGTCATTGTCCCAGCAGGAGCACCTGCCACCCAGGTGCTCAGGGAATGCTTGAAGGAGTTGCTGGGCCAGGAAGGGTGGCCTGTTGGGGCTGCTATCAGGGTTGTGGGGGGCACCCCCTGCATCGAACCCTGCCTCCTCCCTCTCCCCCTCCCCAGGGGAGGAGGCCTCCAGGTTGGTGTACATCCAACAATCTAACCTCAGTGCAGAGAACTGCCCCACCCCGAGCAGACTCCCTGCTCCCCACCCCAGGGAACAGGCTGTGTTCTTGCGTGTAGAGAAGGAAGCTTCTGGGTACTTGTGGGCAGGGCTGGGCAATCAGCCAGTGGTGGTAGGTGTGGGCTAGAGAAGCCCCTAGGAGGGACTAGGGCAAAATCCCCTTCCCAGGGACACCAAAGGGCAGGGGCTGATGGTTTGGGCCCAGAAGTGCTGAACGACCACCAAGGTGTGTGTCTGTTGTGGGAGGGGGTTGGCAAATGCTGCCCAGGTGACTTGCAGGCCAAGGAGGAGTGTCACTGAGAACCCAGAAGTCTGGACCCAGAGGTTGGTGAGCTTGGGAGAGTGGGCACCGGTTCTAGAACAGAACAAGCTGCCAGCACCAAGCATGTGGGATGTTGGAGGGGTGGGCAGGGAGCTCGGCAGGGGCATGAGGAAGTGGGTGGGGCAGCAGTGAAAGGTGCTCTGGGTTTACTAGGATCAGTGAAGGGGAGCACTGCCCAGAGAGAGGGCACCATGGGAACAGGTGCAGCCGAGGCAGTGGGAGCTGGAGAGACCCTGAGCCTAAGGCAGGTGAATCGCAGCAGCAGGAGAGCCTCTGAGGCTCCTCTAAGAAAAGTGAAAGGAAAAGAGAGGACAGAGGGAACAGAGCCCACAGAGCCCAGGGGCACGACTGGGAAGTCATGGTCAGACTATGGGGTTGGGGGCAAACAGACTGGCTGGAACGGAGTCAGGGAAGGAGAGGAGGCAGAGTAAACAGCCCATAGGAAGTGGAGGACGATGCTGAGACTCCTCTGTGCATGGGAAGCCCAGGGGAGACTGGAAGACTGGTTTAATCTGTCCTCCTGAGCCCAGAGGACAAGGCTGGCCAGAGGTGACCCAGACAGGGCTACAGTGAAATATGCCCTGAGCCCCAGCTCTTGAGAAAGGCCCTTGTTTCCCACTGGCCTCGTGGACTGTGGGTCTGGGACTCCAGGGGTCCTGGCAGCTCTAGGCCTCTGGGTGGGGGTGGCACAGGCCTATGGCCTGTCCCAGAGGCCCTGGGAGCCTCACATGCTGTGGCCAGCACCCTAAAGCTGCTTATCTCTCTGGGCTCAGCAGGGCCCCAGATCGAGGTCATCCTCCCCCTACACACACACTTCCGCCCGCAGCACCCAAGCCTGCCAGGGCTAGAGGGCGGAGACTTGATAAGCTGAGCACAAGGCCACCTGCTCCTCCATCTCCTCTCCAGTGGCTGGGGAGGCTTCCGGCCAAGGCTGGACACCAGGATCAGGGAGGCATGCCACCTCCCAAAAGAGTGGACATGGACCAAATGCCAGGAACTCCCGATAACAGAGCCAGGCAGGGGATTAGGGGCTGGGCCATTTCCCAGAAAGGGTGGGATGGGGAACCTGGCCATCCTTCTGGCCCAGCTAGCCCGCTCAGAGGCGCCCCTGCCTCCTCTCTGTCTACATCCAGTTAACGCAGTGGTCTTGCTAAATGGAAAATCAGTTCTGGTTCCTCCCTCCATTGATTATCCCCTACAACCAAAATATCACACAAATTTCTAACCCCAGCCTACGAGACCCTCTAGGACCTGGCTCTGCTGGCTTCTCCTCCTTCACCCCACTCCAAACATGCTTGCCTCCCTGCCGTCCCTAACACAGGACAAAGTGTCCTGGTTTGCAATTCTTGCTCCCTGTACTCAGAAATCACTGGTCATCACTGGGCCAGTTCCTTCCCGTCAGCCAAGGCTCCCTTCAGAGGTCACTCCTCAGAGGGGCCTTCCCTGACCACCTTGCCCAAGCAGCTTCCTGACGCTCCCCACCTGGCCTAGCAGCACCTGGTTTACTTTCTAGCCTGTGGGATTGCTGTCCATCAACCCAGTGGACTGGCAGTTCCAGGAGATCAGAAGCACACCTGAATCTCCAGGCCTAGACCTGCTGGATGCTCAATTTCCAGCAGAACTGAGCTACATATCAGGGCCTGAGCTGCCTCCTCCTCCTGGCACCAGCCTGGTGGCCACTGAGTGAGACCAGGTAGGGTCTCGGGGCAGAAAAATGCTCAGGCTGGGCTGAAGAAGCTGTGAGGCCAGGAAGCACTGACGTCCTGGGGTCAGCTCAGGTCCTGGGGAGGCCTCACGTTTACCAAGCCCTCCACCCTGAGCTCACCCCCTGACCTTAGAGACACATGCAACCCAGCCTAGGTGGGCGGTAGGACTGTGTGCCCCACCCCTTCCCAGACCCGATCTTGGAGGACATGGGCTTCTGATTCTGCTGCCCAGGCTCTTTGTTCCCCCGCCCACTCTCCGGGACTCCCAGGATCACTGTGTCCCCCTGCCTCCTCTCCAGCTTAAATACTATCCCAGTTGAGCCCAACTTCCTTCTGGTTTCCCATCACACAGGTGCTCTTCTAGGTAGCCGCCAGAGCATCCGCCCTGGTTCTCTCCACCCGGGGAGCCCACCCATCCCCCAAGTCCCTTGGAGGGGGCTCCAAAGCAGACTCAGCTGGGAGGAGCCCAACCCCACCAGGGGCTCCAGGCCAGAACTCTCCTGGGCAGGAAGTCCCTGGACGCCCAGTGAGCGGCACGGACTCACCTGCGCTCCACAGCC